GTTCAACTTATTGAAAAATATGGTACACCAGAAGGAGTTTGTAATGCTTTAAAATTATGTCATAATGGAACGAACTCACTTGAACTCACTATTAGTAAGTGATTTTGATATTCGAAAAAAAAAATCATTGATATTGTATTATTCATTATAGATAGTATTGATGAATTAGTTGAAAATAATAAACAACCGGTAAAGGTATCTTCAAAACTTAACTCGGTAATCAATTCACTTGAATGTTCATTATGCAAATATGTTGTTGGTTACATTGATAATATTATTCAAAACAACAAATCAGAAGCTGCTATTGAAGCTGCATTAGAAAAAGTTTGTCGTATCTTACCAGCACCAATAAAAGACAAATGCGTTGAATTTGTTGATACTTATGGACCAATTCTTGTTCAACTTATTGAAAAATATGGCACACCAGATCAAGTTTGTAATGCACTAAAATTATGTCAAAAGGGTACTCAATTAGCCGGTTCAGTTTCTCGTAAGTTATTCTCTAAAAATTTTCATGAAATTATTTGTTTTTTTAAATAGAAAAAGTTGATAAACCAATTAAACGTGTAAAAGATTCAGATGAATGTGTTTTATGCAAATATATTATATCCTACTTGAATGTTCTTATAGAAAATAATGTTACCGTGAAAGAACTTGAAAAAGCATTGGAATTAGTCTGTGTCATATTACCAGCTGAATATCATAAACAATGTAAGGCTTTTGTTCAAACATATGGACCTATCCTAGTTGAACTTATTGTTGAACTCGATGATCCAAATGTTGTTTGTGAATGGTTAACATTATGTTCAAAATCAAACGATAAATTTATTCAAATTCCAGCAATAAAAACTAATAAATTAAAATCATTACCGTGTAATTTATGTCAATATCTTGTTAATTATCTTGATGCAATTATTCAATCAAATTCAACAGAAACAAAATTTGAAGAAGCTTTAGATCGTGCTTGTAAAATTTTACCTTCAACAAAATTACAATCAGATTGTAAATTTTTAGTTCATCTATATGGTGCAGATTTAATTAAATTTCTTGTTGAATTCGGTAATCCAAAAACAGTTTGTCAAGCCATCGGTATTTGTGATAAATAGATGCCACTTTCTTACTGGTGCAAAACAAATCGGTTCTTTGTCGTTTTTTTTTATTCGAATATGTAATGGCCAATAAGTTTTGTTTGTGTTTGTACTTTTTTTTTTTTCTTAAACACATTTGTCCGATTTGTCTTTTTATGTTTTTTTCTTTTGTGAAAGGATGACAATCAATAAATGAATGTGATAATTGACTTTGGTCATTTTTAGATTGCTCAGTCTTTTTTTTTTTTATTCATTTGTGACATTATGACGAAAGTCTTATTAGTCACGTATCTATTCAGTAAGTTGTTTAGAAAGACAAAAAGAAAAAACAAGAAAAGAAGTTTGTTATTACTTGATTGTTTTTTTTTTTACAAATTTAAGCTTTAACAACTTGTTTAATATATGCATATAAACAAGAATGTGCTATTGGTCCTGAATATTGGTGTAAGTCATTTCAAAATGCACAAGATTGTGGTGCATTACGTCATTGTACTGATACAATATGGCGTTATGATGAGAAACATACCAAAATTGATACATCAACAAAATGTGAATGGTGTGCACAGATTCTTGAAAATACACATAAAGCTATTCAAAATGTAGCTAATAATGAAGTTTGTCATTTCGATTCAATAAGAATTTAATGAGAAAACAAAATAATTGTTCCGTTATTGTAGGATTTAGTTAAATCAACATTAATAAATGGATGTAAATTATTACCATTAGAAGATATTTCATCTAAAGTGAGTTAAAATAGGTTGTTGCTTTTAGTATTTTAAATAAAAAATTTGGTATTGATTTAGTGTATAACTATGATTGAAAATTATGAAACAACAGTTGTCCTATTGATGAAACATCAAGTAAATAATGCATAAAATATTGTACAGTGGGTAATTTCTATCTAGCACGTGGACATGACTTTTTTTAATTTTTTTATTAAAAGCGAATTTCTTTTTTAATAGAAATATTAGCTTGTTGTATTTAAAAATAGGATTGATAAAAACAAAGACCATTTACAACAGAAAATCGCCGAGGAAGATCTATAGTATACATTCCTGTGAACAAATTTTTTAATTTAAAAATCAACAGACAATACATATCTCATTGCATTTTTTCATACTGATACCAAATATCTCTTTATTTTTCTCTCAAAATGCTTCTGTGACAAAGCAGTCGCAAAAAATCTGTAATCTTAGCCTAGAAGCATCTTTATCTAATGGAGTATATGCTTCAGATATCGAAGAACATTGTCGAAAAGTTTCGTCGATATCAGATTAATGAAAAAACGTAGTAGCCATCTCTACCGAAGCCGTCTTTTCGGAGAACGCTTAGCGTTAATCTGACTAAGATTTTCCAATAAATTTACCTGTTAGAACAACATTTTTTTTCCAACAAAAAATTGCTCCTTAAGTCAAGTGTATAAATTACTATTCAAGTTTTGAAAAAGTTAACGTTCATTTTTTTCATCTGATGTTCACGTCATTGCCCACCGTATATTTTTGTATGATAGAGTCAATATATTTTTGTTTTTCTTTGATTTTTTAGCGCTATGATAGAATATGCCATTTAATGAATATTTGTCAGAATAGTGATATTATTGAATTAGATAAAAATATAGAAAAAACTAATGTTGATACACAATCTAAAATGTTATGTAATGTAATTGTTCGTGCTACACAAGAACTTCATGGTAATGAACAAAAATCTAGAAGTGAAATTCAAACCTATTTGAAAAACGATTGTCAAAAATTAAGTATTCCGGAACTTGTACAAAAAGTAAAAGAAGATTTTTAAAGAATTTTGATAAGAAAATAAATTATTATTTTTTCTTAGTGTGAAGGTTTAATTGAACGATATGGTAATGAAATTTATGCATATGTAGTCAGTCGTGTGGTAAATGTCCTAAAATATTCAAAACAATATATATAATATTTATTATCCATAGGAATTATCAAAAATTTGCGACTATATTGACGATTTTGCTTTTCAAGTAAGATAATTTGTTTCATTTTGTATCAATTGAAGTATTCTTTAGGTGAATCAAGGAAATTTATTTAGAATCTATGTTCGAAGCTTTTTCTATCGATGCAAAGATTCTGTGACCTCTTGTTTCTGAATATTGAGCAAATTTTAAAATAGTACTAAAATGTGTTCTGTAAAACAATCGCTCAATATATTTTTAGTGAAAGTTTTTATAACTTAATCGTGTTCATTCTATTGTATAGTATTGACCTTTTCTTAAATACAATTCCTTATTCAATTGTTGACGATTTTTACAGAAAATATTATAACAATATTTTAGAAAACATTAGAAAAGGACTAACTGCAGAGCTTAAGCTATTTTTCAAGTCAATGTTCGTTTATTATTTGATGTTCATGTTCGTCCTCTATGCTCGTCATTGACGTATTTATATTGGCAGTATTCGAGATTTCACATAGTTGTTATTATATATCTTTTTATAAAGCTTCTATAGATTCGTTACAATTTTCACATCTGAATTCTAACAGTAATTTTTTGTATATTTATTTATATATTTTTTTCATCATGCTAACTAAAATAGTCTTGTACTATTTACTGCTAGGTTTGTGAATAATTAAGTGGTGACTATAATGAATTAAATCGAGAGCAAGAAAATACAATATAATGTATAGGAAATAATCTGAAAATACGGAGAACTCAATTTCTCTTGCTGCAGCTATTTTTTACTGAACACACAGTTCGAAAGAGCTTTCAACTCCGATTCCGAATAGATTTCTTTGGTTTCTTGAAAATATGCTTTAGTCATTAAAAACTGAAGCAATATTTTCTCAATAATTTTTGCATTACTTGTTATTAATAATAAAAAAAATATATTGATTATTCTATTTAGTCTGTTACATCAGACAATTGCGAATTGTGTACATTCGTTATTTCAATAGCTAAGCAAATGCTGCATAACAAACATCCTCAAGTAAGAAAATAACTTTTATTTATTTCAAAAAACAAAGATTAATTTATTTCTATTAAAGGACAAAGTACTTATCTATATTGATGAACATATATGTTCACATTTAACCGGTATAGCAAAGAAAAATTGTAAAGATATGGTAGATACAAATGGAAAAGATTTAATCACTAATATTCAAGATGGAATAGTAAGTAGCAAAAGAAAAACAAGAAAATTTTTGTTGTAATTTTAATAATTGATTTATATTATATTTAGCAACCAATGCTTCTATGTACACATTTTCAATCTTGTCTTGATAAAATTATTGATAAAACAAGTCCAATACAAAAAGTAAAAAAAAAAAAACAAAAATATCATAATTGAAATTATGCTAAAATAGAAAATATAATTTTAGGATGAAATTCGTTCATTTCTTATGAATAATTTATGTAGTAAACTTGGATCACTAAAAAGTGCAGTAAGTCATAATATTAAAAATAAAAAGACTAAATTGTATGAACTTATTATTATTTCGTATACTAGTGTGAAGCATTAATAGAAAAAGATAGTACTCATCTTTTACAAGTACTTATCAATGAAATAGTATGTTTAACATGAATATACATTAGTCATATTTTGATTTATTGTTTTTTTTCTTTTCATAGAATGGTCATGATTTATGTTATATGTTTGGTTTATGTCAAAGACAATCATCTTTAATTAATGAATTTGATCTTGAAGATGTATGATAAATAAAATTTTGTTGTTTAAAAATTTTTATTTTTCTTAATTTCATAGGATCCAAATAAATGTAAACGTTGTATAACAGATTTTACTCGACGAAAACATATTGCTGAAAAACTTGTTGTATGTATTAAAATAAACCAAGAGATTTTATCGCGAACAAAAGTTTAGAGCAGTTGCATTATCAAGTTTTCTTCTCGATGATAATAACTAGCAAGAATTTGTAAAAAAAGAACATTTATATAGCTGAAAAGATTTTCAATCAAGATTCATAGGCCCGAAGAATTCAACAAGACTGTTTGGATGAAGGTTTATGGATAACAAAGATCTCTAAAAACCAACTTTCTAGGTTTCCTTCGAAATTTTTTGGTAAATGTTCTATTTGATAGAGTACAATAAGGCGTCTCCAATCTCTTCATGACCTCTAAACACAGACATTTTCAATAAAAAAAAAAAAGGAAAATGCTTTTTTGATTTTATCTAAATTGAATAAACTTCGATGAAGGAAGATTATCGAGCGGTCGGAGACGTCTCATTCCTTCTATCAAATAAAATATTTTCCCAAGAGTTTCAAATGGAAGCTAGAAAGCTAGTTTTAAGAGTCTTAATTTTCACTCGACATTCATTCAAGCAGTTTTGTTGGAGGTTTCAAGCCTACGAGTCTTCAGAGACAATCTTTTCAGCTACAAAAATGTTTTTTCAGACTCTTACTAGTGATTACAATTGAGAAGAAACCTTAAAAATACAACTGTTTCAAATTTATTTTTGCTACTTTATATTTATTGATTAATAATGATAATATCTATTTTAAGAATCATTCATCTGAATTTCTTCATCATCTTTGTGGACAATTACCTCAACAAGATGATGTAAAAAAAACTATAGTTAAATAATATTTCAAATATTGATTTGTTTATTATTTAGTGTACAAAAGCAGTTGACGATTCAATTAATGAGCTTGTCACATTTATTCGATCATTGGTATATAAGTTTTTGTTCGAAGAAAGAACGTGAAAATCTTTCTTTATTTCTGTCTTCTCAGGACCCAAGAACAATTTGTATACAATTAAAGATGTGTGATCAAAATTCAATAGAAAATATGAAAACAACGGCTATTATACCATTGGATAATGCTATTAATGTAAGTTTTTTTTTTTATTTGTTTCTTTTTTAAACTGAATATAAAGTTTAGTTCATATTTTTTGTCAAAATAGAAAAAAAAAAGTACTCGATTTAAAAGCTCGTTATTTGATTACTAAAGAAATCTTTATATTTAATCTATTCTTTTTTCTTCTCATAGGAAAATATTATTGAATATATAAAAAATGATGTTTGCACTAAACTTGGATCATTATCTGTATTGGTATATTTTTATATTAATTATTTATTTATTTAAGTTTTTCTTAATGTTTAAATTTTGTTTCTTAGTGTATTCAATTGACAGATTCCGAAGGATTAAATCTTCTTAGTCTCATAAGTAAAACTATTGATCCACATAGAATATGTTCAATCATTGATGTATGTCCATCAAATTCCGTATTGAAAACTGTATGTTTTATTTTGAAATTAAACAAAAAAAAGAATTTTTTTTGAGTTATTTTTTGATGAATTTTAGTGTCATGATAAATGTCAATGTTGTACAAATAAAGTTGAAATTTATCAAAGAAAACTATTGAAATTTACAGTAAGAAAAAAAGACTAAGATGAAGAAACAAAATATTGTATTGTGTGTAATTTTTTTTTTAGCAAGCTATTGTCGGAAGTACACGAATAATGTGTGATCATGTACCGGGTCGTGATATGGTAAGTTCATTAAAGATTATTTTAGATAAAAATAA